AGTTGTTCTCCTTCTCATACATTTTAAATCCTCTGGTTTTTTTTTCAGCATATTCTACTGCCTACGAATTTTCCTGAGCCCTCCTCTGATTGACTCTTTTTTTGCCTTTGTCTACGACACCAGTCTTAAGTTTCTCGTGTTGTTTGTCGTTTTTACGTTATCCGCTATACGCAAATATTTTTTCTGTCTCTGCATTAACCGCTGCGTAGGTCACAAATGTTCCGTTATTTTTTTTAATTTGTTTTATTTTTTTCTTGCGATTTTTGTTGGCTTGATATGTGTCTTACGCTTGCTGTCGTTCAGAGCGTTTTACCACCTTTCAACTGATTGCATATTTTTTATGGGCAGTTAAAAATGTCTTATCGTTTTATTTCCTGTCATAGACTGCGGTCTACGTCGCTCCAGTGACTGGTATCCCTGTCTTACTGTTCAGCGGTTTCTTCGTTAACTTTGATACCATTCCAAAGTACATGCAGTGGCTCACATACGTTTCCTACGCGCGGTACAGCTGGGAAGGAACGGTGGTGGCTATATATGGCAACAAAAGAGGACCTTTAGAATGCAAGGACAGACGATGCATATTTACGAACAGTGAAGAAGTTTTGGCGTCTATGGATGTGGAAGAAAATGCCCTGTATTTAGAAGGCGCGAAGGTTTATTTCGATTGCCTCGTCCTCTCCCTTTTCTTCATTATTTTGAGATTAGCGGCTTATTTAGTGTTGCGGTACAAAGTGAAGTCGTATCATTAGCAAAGTTGTGGTGTTCTGGACGATTGCGTTGGGAGTTGTTGTCATCTTGGACGCCATCTTGACAAGTTTTTGACTGTTCGTGAGCGAGCTTGCGGTGACCGCTGATCAGTTATACGTGGGCTTCTAATAAATCGAGTTGAGTGGGATTGTGGTGAACTTGGAAATGGCAAAGAAAATTAGGAGCGTTATTTTTAAAGTCATCGTGAGCTACGTATTAGGGTTCGCGTTTTAGGGATCCTTCACGCATTCATAAAATTAAACAATCATTACGTGTTTTTAATATATGCTAAAAAAAAAGGCTCTGCTATGTGGAGAACGTATATAATCAGATTTACGGGAATCTCATACCCGGAGCCCAAATGATACCGACCAGATATGACAATTCTTTGGGCTGACCCAGAGTATCGCAGCTGTAGGGGACGACCTTCTTTGTCCACCTAGCGCCCAAAGAATCT